ATTTTAATCGCAAAACATTATTTTTATAGTTTATAATCATTTTGAGAACAGGCCGTATTCTCGTCAAGTAAACCTCATAAAAATGACAAAAAGACAGGGCCCTAATTAGAATTCAATTATTTTTCCCAGAAATCCAACTTTTAATATTAAATGCAGGAAATTGTACTTATGCTGATTTTTACGAAATGTTTAAGTTATATTTAAGTGACATTCTATATGCAAAGAATCACTTAAATACAATTTAATGTTCTTAGATTGGCATTCAAAAAGTGCATTCGGATGCCTAATTTGGAATAAAATATTTATATTTTAATTGATTTTAAAATAAAATTATATTAATTATAATAACTTGTCTATTATTTGTTCTCCCTCAGAGATATTAAGTACCCACACATAAATAATAGTCCAGCCGATTCTGCGTGAAAAAATTACACATACTTAGTGTGGAATAAGCTCAAGGAGACAGAAAGAACACAAAATTTTGCCTTTATAATATTAGTGAGATAAATAGGATATTTAGTTCCAAATTAAATATAAGAATGAACGAGGAAAGAGTGACAAAGCAAATTTATGTTGCGGAAGTGAACGGCAGGGTCGGGAAGGGACGCCCTAGACGAAGGTTTATCGACCAAATCGGCGATACATTAAAAATGGGCCAGATTAGGAGTACCCATAACCGACGGGCGTGTATGCGTAGATATATGGATGTAAAAGAGGCGAGAGAGGTGTGTCAGGATCGCGCCAAATGGAAGTCCGTAGTCTCTGCCTACCCCTCTGGGTGACAGGCGTGAGTGTTTATGTATTAAATATCCTACTTAATATTGAACATAGAATATTTAGTTTCAAAGAGACTTTATTTTATGGATAAAATAAATATTTCTTGAAGGTTGACTTTCACGAAATGATCATATTTAAATTGTATTTAAGTGATTCTTTGCATATAGAATGTCACTTAAATAAAACTTAAACATTTCGTAAAAATCAGCCAAGTACAATTTCCTTCATTTTAATATTGAATGTTGGGTTACTGGGTAAAATAATTGAATTCTAATTGCGGCCTTGTCTTTTTGTTATTTTTTTATGAGGTTTACTTGACGATAGATGGCGGCCTGTTTCTAAAATTATTATGAAAACTATAAAAATATTATTTTGGCGATGCTGTGGATGGCATCATATTTCATTTATAAGTAATTTTACACCCAATTTATTTAAATAGTTCTAGAATAATCTCTTTGCGTCGGCTTTCAAATATAATTAAATATATTCCACACTAGATGGCGACACTTTCAGTCTTATTCCAAAAAAATGTTTTAGTACTGGGTTAAGTTTAGGAGTAAGAAGTCCAGGTTTGTTACAATATTCTAGTTAATACCAGCACTAAAACGTGTGCTTATTACAAAACGCAGACTACCCGAGGACCAGTTAATACCAACGTTAGTATTATATTAAATATCATTCACAGATAAAAAACAAAAAATGACACTCTATCATTCGTTCATACAGGTTTCATTCAATGCAACGTTCGGTTTCATAAAATATTAATATTATTTTCACATTTAATTATGCTTAAATAATTATCCATCAATACAAAAACATATCATACATTGTTATTTGTTTACGTTAAAATCTATTGAACAAGCACGACATATACTTTTGACGCGCTTTTGATTATATCAAGTTGTTTTCAGTTTAACAACTCTAGCGTGAAATGTAGTGAATTACAGAGGTAACGCGAGCGCGGGATTTGAGACGTTCAAAATAGTTTATATTGCAGCCTTATAATAAGTAAATTAAATTATTAATAATTAATTAAGTACTTGCTATTACAGTTATATTTATATAATAATGGAACAAAAGAAAAAACGGGGTGAAAATTGGAGTTCTGAAGAAAAAGTTAGTGAAATATCGAAATTTGTCAGTACGTAGCAATACTCTTATCCTCCTATTATCCTTATTTCAACTAAAAGGAATGTTCTTATTATTATAGGAAATATTACGTACACTTATTTCACAATCAGCACATATAATAGAGAATAAGTCGACAAAAACATCGGTAAATATTCAAAAAATAAAAGAGTGGAAGAATATAACTAATAAGTAAGTACTTATCGCATTTGTTATGTGTACAAATAGGTATGGTATTGTTTACGTGATTTCGTATTTTTTTTTAGATTTAATGAGATAACAGGTAAACGCCGATCAGATGGTGAATTGAAATTATCTTGGAAAAGAACGAAGTTGTGTGCTAAATCAAACTTATACACATATAGGAGGAAACAATCAAAGACCGGGGGTGGCGGAAAACCTCCATCACCTTCTCTTGAGGACTTGGAAATAATGTCCATTGCCCCTCACGACTTTATCGTTGAAGTAAATAATTATGATAGTGATGCAGTGGTAAATAAAATTACTTACATGTCTTACAAATTTAATTAAAATTAAAGAACTTTATTTTCCATTACTTTAGTACCTAAGTAGTGCTCTGAAATCTACTCTTAAAGCATACAATTTACAATCCAAAATTATTTTCCGAATATTCAAAATTTAATATACTTAGTAACAATTTAACATAAATTTCTTTATAATTAATTATATTCAAAATTGAAATGTCACAAATTCATATATAGTGGTCTATATAATATCATAACACACATTTTACTAGATTATCTACACAGTCCGATTATAATTTTCTATTTTTGTCTATTAGGTATTATAATTAATAATTTATTAAATTACCTTTTGTCTTGGATCATAATAATATTTCTACAACATAGAAAATACCTGATTCAATAAAGGGCAAAATAGAGATGACAGGTGACAGGAAAACATGTTAATAAATGTTTTAATGATTTATTTTAGGATCCAGTGACTGTGGCTACAACATCAAAAGAAGTTGCTGACCCTAAGCCTCGCCTTAATTTTGAAAAAAACAGACACAGCTATAGTTAAAAATGTAGAAAATCCAGAACCCAATGTTGTATATGTGCAAGGTAAATAATACTGATTGAATATTTATTAAAAAGCAAAATATATTATTATTATAGTTACAATCATATGCATACAAGTTTGTAAATATTATAAATGTTAATTTTCTAAAACTGTTATATTTATATTAATTTTTAGAGATAGATCCAACTACAGATACAGAAGAAAGTGCCAAAATGGTGAAAATAACCAACAATAAAGATATTATTACTAGGGGTATAACAAAAATTAAAAACAGGAAAAATAGCTTGCAAAATAGGTATGTTGAAAAAATTACATAGTCTGATACATTACATACTTTTTAAAATGTGAAAATTAGTATTTAAACACTGAAAATTGTTTCATGTTTTCAAATATTAAAAGCAAAGTTTAATATGAATTGATTTAAAAATAATTAAAAAATATTTCTTTAATTGGTGTACAAGGTTAAGTGCACTTTTATTACTCTAGAATACTTTGTAAATTTCTAAAATAACTACAAAACTTACATTAAGTATTCCATTTCATTTTACAGAAGAGAAGATGTACACCAAACAATTGTAAAAAGTAACACAGATTTTAAAAAAAGACAACTGGAAATGATGGAAGAGGAACATAAATACAATATTAAAATAGCTAACCTAAAAATTAGAAAATTAGAGTTACAAATATTTTTATTAGAAAGTCAGAAAAACACAAGTTAAATAGCAACTTAATGCTGCTGTGTTTATTATGGTGAGTTTATAGAATGAGAATAGAATAGAATGATTTTTATTAAATATAGATTATTACAGAATACTTATTGAAAGACTAAATACTAGTAAGAAACCCAGCGGGACTTTTTTATAAACATATTTCTCTTAACAATAATTTTATTTGTACAATTTTTAAATGAATTTTAATAGAACCACCATGGTGGCGATCACCTCAATTCCAGTATTTCCAATATTCTCATTTATGTATTCTTTGATATTATAATAACCTTTTTATAAAATTTTTCTTTAATAAAACATTTAAACTTGTTTATTGACAAATTTTCGATAAATTTTTGTACAAAGTTTGTATGAGAGAGACCTCTTTTACAGGAAACGAGGCATTCCATCTTACTCCACACGGGTGACAACGCATCTGCATTTTGATTTGTAGTCGAGGATAGATGTGGACGTCTATGCACCACAGCAGTTACTTAACATCAGATGGACTGTGTGTGTGTATGTGTGTGTGTGGTAGACTGTGTTTATCACCATTATCCTATAAAAAAAACTAAATATTTGAGACTATATCAGATACATGTTTGTAAATATCCTCATATATGAAACAATTATTTTCAGGTACTAAATTGCTGCAAATATTTGTACATCTTTTATTAATAATTAAAATAAATAATTATAATTAATATGCATTTTATTTACATAACAATGAAATATAATATACAATAGTAAAAAACTATAATAAAAAAAACTAAACCTAATTACTTAGTCATCATACAGTCCTACTCCCCGTGGACCCTTGCACCTCTGGAAAGGAAATCTGGCTGTGAATGTAGAGGAGGGACGATATTTATTAAAAAATCTAAACATATCTCTAAAGCACTTAAATCTTTATATAATATAGCTTCATATTGATGTGGAATGTGCTGTACCCCGCATCTTTCCCTGAAACACAATCATTTATAGCCTAAATAAAAGCATTTTGCTCAATAAATGAAATATTATCACAATACTCCCCTGAATTTATTTCATATTGGTGAATATGTAGTCGTTATTCTTTGACAGCTGACAACGGCTCTGCAGAAATATTTTCCTTTATAAATGGGTATTATCTCTGAAATCAAAAAGAAATATTATTATAATTGTCTTATACATTTATTGATCCTTAATGTAATTTTATAGCCAAAATTGGCCTCTGAATAACAAAATAAAATAAATTATATATACATAGCTTTAGACAATTGAAAAAAAATTGACAATTTTATAAATATAATTATTAATTTTAATTATAAATAGCTATATAAATATGTAAAAAAAAATGTTTACCTACTGAAAATGAGTTTCAATAAACTGTCTTCTTCTAATATTTCCCCTTATTGATGGTGCAATATATCTTTGTACTATAGGTTCAGATGAATATTGTTCAATGCTATCTCTCTCACCAGAAAACACATCTTCTCTCATGTCGATGGCCATATTGTGTAGTACAGCACATGCAACAATTGTTTTTTTTGCTGTTTCAATATCTCCAAACATACCTCTTAATAGGCAACGAAACCGTTGCTTCCACAAACCAAAACATCTTTCCACTGTGTTCCTGGTACGGATATGGCTCCTATTATATCTTTCTTCTTGTGGTGTTGTGGGGTTCAGCAGCGGTGTAAATAGGTAAGGGGTACAAGGATAGCCACTGTCACCAAGTAATATTCCAGAGAATGCACCAGCCTCAAACCTCTGTTTTAGTCTACATTCTCGGAATATTCTGGAGTCATGTACACTACCACGCCACCTGGTAACAATGTCCATGATTTTCAGGTCAGCGTCACAAACCACCTGTAAAATAAGAGCTCATTAGTACTTTATGTTTTTCTGGTTTATTTTAATATATATTTATTACCATAAGATAGTCAAACAAATTATTTTCTATTATGATAAAGTAAAGTTATTAAGAGACAATCACAGCTATTTAAAATATTTGTATATTACCTGTACATTAATTGAAGAAAATCCTTTTCTATTAATATATAACTGACCCCCATCAGCATTCACTTTCTTTACTCGTATGTGAGTACAGTCAATTGCGCCAATTACTGTAGGAAAATTAGCAATACTGCGAAATTTCCTAATGGTTTCCTGCTGTTCATTTAAAGTAGTAGGCATTTTAATAAATTCTCGGGACTTCCGTGACAAAATTTCCGCTACTTTTTTACATGTCCTACTTACTACTGGTTGAGACACACCATGTAAATCAGCTGTATCGTCTTGAATCTACGAATAAAACAATAATATGTATTATCTGGCTTTTTATCTAGCGTAATGTTAGGTACATTGACCCCACCAAGATTATAAACAGCACTTACTTCATGGCGAGCCCAGTTGCGTAATGCACAAACCACTTGAATTTCAGGACTCAATGGGCATCCTCGAGGGTCGTGCACTAAATCCTCACGTAAGATACCCACTATTTTTTCTCCGAAACGTTTTGAGAACCTATACTTATACCTAAAATCTTCGTCACTCAATTCAAACGGATTCACACGATGTCGATGTCTATCAGGTCGCCGAGTAGTGTCTAGCATGTCCAAATCTTCTAGATCCATCAAGTCAATCATGTTAATATCCATTTTTAACGATTTTAATAACACCAAATGAAAACAACGCTCACCTCAAATTAAGAAGTACCGAAATTGAGGTTAGTATAGAGTAGAGTACCACAAACTATATAGAAAGGTTAGTACCATAGCTAAACTAGGGGTCTCGAAAGATTAACTTTAATACCATAGATAATCCTTGAACCAGAGATAATCTTCGTTTTGTAATAACGTTTTTCTTAGTTTATGGTTTAAATATATTACTAACTCCAGTACTATATTAAGTCCGTGTTTTGGAATAAGGCGGTTTGTGTCCTGTGAACTAAAAATATAAAGGTATGTAGAGCTCAGTAATGATAAAATAATCATACGAAGGTGCTGGAAAGTAAGTATCGATTTTATTGCGACAGCGAAATTTTGAATAAAATATAACTAGATAATTTTGAAGAAAAATATGTTTTGAATTCGCTCAAGGCGGCTTTTGTAAACATTGTATATGTTATAGGCTTTACCGATAACATAATGTGTTCGGATAGTATCATTTTATGATCAAAATGTACGTCTAAATTCCTAACACTTAGTTTTCGGCTCATTTTTAATCCGTCAAAGTGATCATTATCATCATCATCATAACAGCCCTTCACAAGTCCACTGCTGAACATAGGCCTCCCCTAAAGAATGCCACAAAGCACGGTCCTGAGCCACCTGCATCCATCGACTTCCTGCATATCTTACCAGTTCGTCACTCCATCTAGTGGGGGGACGCCCTACACTTCGCCTGCCGGTACGAGGCTGCCACTCAAGAACCTTTCTTCCCCATCGGTTGTCGGTTCTTCGAGCTATATGGCCGGCACATTGCCACTTCAGCTTACTAATCCGTTGGGCTATGTCGGTCACTCTGGTTCTACTGCGGATATCCTCATTTCTGAGTTTATCACGCAGAGAAACTCCGAGCATAGCCCTCTCCATAGCTCGCTGAGCGACCTTGAGCTTCCTCATCCGGCCAGCAGTGAAGGACCACGTCTCAGTTTCGTATGTCATCACTGGCAACACGGACTGGGTGTACAGTCTCGTTTTCAAGTTTTGAGGTATACCTGACGAGAAGATGTGCCGTCATTTCCCGAACGCTGCTCAACCGAGTTGAATCCGTCGATTGACCTCTCGGTCGAAGTTGGACTTACCTAGTCGGACTATTTGTCCCAGGTAAACATACTCGTCAACAACTTCGAGCTTAGTGTTCCCAACAACTACCGGCATAGGTGTGACATGGACATTAAACATGATCTTTGTTTTGTCCATGTTCGTCTTAAGACCTATCCGTTGGGAAACACTATTGAGGTCATTGAGCATAGTGCTTAGGTCCTCCAGCGATTCTGCCATAAGGACTATATCGTCGGCAAATCGAAGGTGAGTGATGTACTCGCCATTGATGTTGGTACCGTATCCTTTCCAGTCCAGAAGCTTGAAAACATCTTCCAATGTAGCGGTAAAGAGTTTCGGGGATATGACGTCACCCTGTCTTACACCTCTCTGTAATTGGATAGGTTTCGTACTCTGGTTCTGTACTCGGATAGCTATCGTAGCCCTACTGAACAAGCACTTCAACTTCGATATACCGACAGTCAACTTGGCATCGCTGAAGGGACTGCAGCACCGCCTAAATTTCGACGGAATCAAAGGCTTTTTCATAGTCCACATACGCAAGGCAAAGTAGCAGATTATACTCCTCTGTCTTCTGTACAATCTGCCGCAGGGTATGTATGTGGTCCATGGTACATGGCCTTTTCGAAAACTGGCTTGTTCGGGAGGCTGGAAGTCGTCAAGTCTGCGTGCGAGACGATTCGTAATGACTCTCGAAAACAGCACTTAGACGCGGCTCAGAAGGGAAATCGGTCTGTAGTTCTTCAAGAGAGCGTTGTCGCCTTTCTTGAAAAACAAGACCACCGCACTTCTGCTCCACGCCTCTGGTGTAATGCCACCATGGAGGACGGAATTAAAGAGCTTCTGAAGGACTTCAAGTACCGGTTTTCCACCCGCTTTCAGAAGCTCCGCTGTAATTCCATCCTCGCCTGGGGCCTTGCCGTTTTTAAGGTGCTGGAGAGCCATTCTAATCTCGCTTAGACTGACGTCCGGGATATCATCGGAATAATGTCGGATAAGACTCGCTCTTGGATCGTTACTCACACTTGCGTGCGGCTCCAACGATGACGTGTACAGCTGCCTATAGAACCTCTCTATCTCACTCAAAATCTCAGGTGCCCCGGAAACGATGCTGCCACATTCCGTCTTCAGCTTTGACAGTTGGCTCTTTCTGGCAGACAGATTTCTGGCAAAAACTTTGGAGCCTTGGTTCCGCTCGATCGCTTCTTCAATACAAGCTGTATTGAAGTTGAGTAAGTCCCGCCGCATGCATTTGAAGATCTGTCTGTTCAGTTGCCTGTATGCTGTCAAATCTGTTGAAGAATTTCGCTTCATCTCCCGTCTAACAGCCATGAGATTAAGAGTGTGATCGGAGAGTTTTTGTGTTCTTCTGTGGCAGGTCTTGCAGAACTTAGCTCCGACCGCACAAAGTGATATTTATTAGAATTGGCTTAGTTTTCCCTGTAAAACTAATACATTCGCACTTGCCTGCATTAACAGTTGTACGGTGTAAATTTTACAAAAATCTTCTTATCATCTGCATACATGAGATAATTTCGTGTACAATACACGAATCCATGTTATGTCATGTCAAAAAAGTTGACCTAAGTGAGAGCCCTGAGGAACTCCTGTAGGCATGTTTATATAGCTCGAACGGAATCTACCTCACACGACTGCCTGTGAGCGATTTGTGAGATATGATTCAGTCCACTATCTACTACTTTGCAAAAACCATGTTGCTGCTCGGAGAAGGAACGTGAGAGCGTGGAGTGAATTACGTTATACACTACTCGTTAAAAATAGAAATGCCTCTATAGTTATTTATTTCTGCACGTGATCCTTTCTTGTGTACAGGGACTATGTGTGCACACTTCCATTTATGAGGAAATATCCCTATATAGTAGTTAAGGGAAGAGCAAGTGATTTAGCGCATCGTGACCAAAAAAAAGAAGGTAACCCATCACTACTGCACCTTTGTTTGTGTCCAAAGTTTTCAACATTTTTTTGATAATTGCAGTGTTTGTCTGTACATTGGAAACAATGCCAGTACACATCGATTCCGTATGTGGAGATATGTTGTTATTACTAGGTATACCAAATACACTCAAGAAGAATGAGTTGAAAGCATAAGTACTTTTTTGATTGAAAGCATAATAAGACATTTTCTGATGATATGCTGACTCACCCGGAATGACTTTGACGAAAGTCTAGAACGTTTCAGGATGTGTTTTGATGCTATTTTCACAACTTGACTTAAATTTATTGAAGCATTTTCTCTGGACACGACGTTTTCTTGCTCGAAGTAATGAAAACTCATTATAATCTAACCTACGTTCCTGATTTTTTTCAACGTGTGTTTTATGGTTTTCACCATAATTATTTTTATTAAAGCTGGTGTGTACCATTTAAGATATGATCGCTTCCCTTTTTTTTTTTTTTTTTTTTTTTGCGGATGGAAAATCATCTAATGACGCCTTTCGCTGTGGGTGGAGCGGAAGGGAGTGTCAGACTTTTACTGACTAAAAGCCATCCGTGTTCCTTCAGTGCCCTTACGTTCCGGAGCCGCGGTATCTCTTTCGAACAGCCCGCAGCCCCGGCAGGCGTCGGCCCTTGCGGGCCCCTTCACGCTGCTGACAGCTCTTTGAGGCGCGCGTGGAACAAAACGCGCCGTCGACACGGCCTGTCGTCGTTAGACGGACGGACGGCGAGCTACCCATTGCTCGCCGCCCACAGGCCCGCGCCTACGGTGGTCGGGGGCCACGACGTAGCCCCCGACGCCCGGGGCGTCTCCCGCGGCGGCCGGGAAGGAAAGCTGTTGCTCTTTCCCTCTCCCGCTCCGCCACCTCCTTCGCTAGCATCACTGCTTCGCAGAAGGTGGTGACGGCATCCCATTCCGTCTCGCTCCGGACCATGGCTTCGACCAGAGCCGGACGCGAGAGGTCGCCGCCGCCTATCGCCGCTACGAGGACACGGCGGTGCTCCGCCCAAGCAGAGCACACCTCCACGGTGTGCTCCACCGTGTCCTCCGGTCGATCCTCGCAGTGGGAGCACCCGGGCGTTTCCTCCCGCCCGATTCGGTGCAGGAACCTCCCGAACACACCGTGTCCGGTGAGGACCTGCGTCAGGCGGAAGGTGAGGACGCCGTGGCGTCTCTCAAGCCACTCCTCAAAGAGGGGTCTTATCGCCGCTATAGTGGCGTGCCCAGCACGGGGTTGCGACAGTCGCTCTCTCCATGTCGCCATGAGATCATGCCGGAAGTCTGTCCGCTGCGCGACAACTTGCCGCGGCAGCGGGGTTTCCCCCCGGCATAGTGCTGCCGCGCGCCATTCGTGCAGGCGCGCGAGGACTATCGCCTCCAGATCCCATGGCGGCAATCCGGCAAGGAGGCTCGCCGCCTCGCGGGAGATCGTGCGGTAGCCGCGAACCATCTTTACGGCAACCACCCTTTGGGGCGCGTTTAGGTGGTGGACGGCAAGCCGCGCCAAACCACGCGCCCACACCGGGGCCCCGTAAAGGGCCATGGACCTCACGATCCCCGCGTAGAGCCTCCGGCAGGAGGTGTTTGGCCCCCCCAGGTTCGGCAGGAGCCGCCTGAAGGCAGCCCCGGTCCGTTCCAGTTTGGGAGCCAAACGTCGGAAGTGCTCAACGAAGTTCCATCGGCCGTCGAGGACGAGTCCTAGGTACTTCAACGTCGACTCGACGCCGATGGATACCCCTCCTACCATCACTGAGGATCCCGGTGGTGGCCTGTTCCGAGGACCATGGAAGTGCATGGCCTCGGACTTGTGCAGAGCCACCTCGAGACCCAGTTGCCGGATCCTCTCAACGACTATCGCAACCCCGCGTGTCATAGTTTCCGCCGCCGCCTCGTACGACCCCCCTTGTGCCAGTACCAGCGTGTCGTCAGCGTAGCAAACTACGCTGACGCCGGTAGGGAGGTCGGCGCGCAGCACCCAGTCGTAACCGATGTTCCACAGGGGCGGCCCCAGAACCGAACCCTGTGGGACACCGCACGACATCTCTCGCCGGTTCCACTCTCCGTTTCGACCGGGGTAGATGACGGCCCTGTCCGTCAGATAGTCCCCGACTATACGACGGAGATAGGTCGGCACCCGGTGATACCGGAGTGCCTCCCTAATGCAGCTCCAGGGCATGGAGTTGAAGGCGTTGGCGATGTCGAGAGACACCGCCAAGACAACCCCCCCCCTGGCCACTGCATCCCCCGTCGTGAGGGCTCTCACGCGCATGATGGCGTCCACCGTAGAGCGCCTCTTGCGGAAACCAAACTGGTGTTCCGCAAGATCCGGCCCCGTCCCCGCAAGGTGCTCGGCGAGGCGGTTTGCAATTACTCTTTCAAAGAGCTTGCCCACCTCGTCGAGCAGCACCACGGGCCGGTATGCGGACGGAGAGTCCGCAGGGCGCCCCGGCTTCCGAATGAGGACCAGCTTCCCCGTCTTCCAACGAAGCGGGAATTGGCCTCTCTCCAAGCATGCGCTTAGGAGCCCCTCCAGTCGGGGCCCGAGAGCCTCCGAGGCCAGGACCCAGGCTTTGCCAGGCAAGCCATCGGGTCCTGGGGCGGTATTCCTGGCCTTGAGCCTACGTACCGCCACTCTCAGGTCTACCCCGGTCCCTTCCGGGATGTCGTCGTCGTCGTCCTGGTGGTCCGCTTCCGGCACCGCAGGTGGCGGAGCCATAGGCGGGGGCGGATGTTCCCCGCGCGCAGGGAACAGAGCGCTCACCACATCCTCCACGAGCTGAGGCCGGAGACTCTGCGTCAGCGGGGGGGCCCAGGTGCGGAGTTTATCCCGCACGATCTTGTAAGGGCGCCCCCACGGATCTCTAACGAGAGTCTCCAGCATCTCCTCACGGGCCCGATCCCGGGCCCGCAGGACAGCCTCCCGGAGGGCGGTCTTTGCCGCTCTGTATCCCTCGTACAGCTCCGCCTCAATGGCTGCCGCATTCGGTGGACGAATGCGGAGCCTGCGATGCCTGGCGTACAGGTGCCGCGCGGCGACACACGCCTCGCGCAGAGACGTCAGCTCACGCGACCACCAATACACCTGACGCCGGGCGCTTCCTGGCCGGACGCGGGGCATTGCCACGTCACATATCTCGGACATGGCCTCCTGGAACCACCCTGCCTCATCATTGACGTCGGCAGGCCTGTCCGGTGATGACACCCAGGCCTGCACGATCGAGGCTTCCAGGAGGAGCTCCCGGTCCAGCTGCTTCAGCGCCCAACGCGGACCACTCGGGGCCTGTTGGACTGGCGCGCTCGAGGGCTGGGTGGAGACGTCAAACCGGATGTACCGGTGGTCGGAGTAGGTCTCCACCCCCTCCATGACACGCCAGTCAATGGCACGCGGCGACAGAGCGGGGCTAGCGAACGAAATGTCCACCACCGACTCGCCCCGCATCCGCACACACGTGGGGACAGAACCCCGATTTAGGACGACCAGGCCTGTCTCCAGAGCCCAGTCTTCCACCATCCTACCCCGCACATCTGTACGACGAGAACCCCAAGCCAAGTTCTTGGCATTGAAGTCCCCGAGGACAAGTACGGGGAGGGGATTACTTCCGACGACGACTGCTCTCAGCTCTGCAAGAGAGTTGTGAAACTCGGCGAGAGATCGGTTCGGGGAGAAGTACACCCCCACAACGACGAACTCCCCGAACCGTGCTGCTACGCACCCCTGACCCCTCCTGACACCTTCAAGGGTCGGGGTACCGGCGGCGGCTGAAGAAATGATGGCCACTGAGCCGTTAAGGTCCGCCACCCAGTCCTCCCTAGGCCAGACAAAATACGGCTCAGCGACCACAGCGATGTTGATCGACCACTGCGCCATGCTCTGGAGCAACAGATCCTGAGCGCAGGCGCAGTGGTTGATATTCGCCTGGAGGAAGCTTAATGGGGCCGTTATAGGCATTCCATTTCAGCTTCCTCCACGGGGCGCCTCTCTGCGGGCGTCGGTGTCGCGGCGGCGGCGGCAGCGACAGTGACAGCGGCGGCGGCGGCGGCGGCAGTCGCGACTGCGGCGGTGGCCACAGAGGCGGTGGCGGCGGAGGGCCCTCCCCTACCCGCGGCCTTGGCCTTGGCGGGTGGCACGCAGGCCTTGCTTCCGGCCCGGTGATCGGCTGGCTTGCCGGTCGCCGCACATGCATCACAGTGCGGCGTGGCGCAGCAGGTCGCCGATATGTGTCCGGGCTGACAGCAGCGGAAGCAAAGGCCACTGCGGTCAACCTCCGAGGCGCATTTCACAGATACGTGGTGCCCCACGAGACAGCGGTAGCACCTCAGAGGTCTGGGCTCCAGCAGCTTAACCTGCGCTGAGACCCAGCCCACCAGAAGCCTTCGGCCCTCCACTATGGTTTTGGCCGCCGTAACAGGGCAGCACACCGTGGCGGCATGCATACCCTGTTGGTCCGGGCGTATGGCGCCTGACCTGACCTGGTCAGTAGTGCACCCCCCGGACCTGGCGACGGCGGCCACTAACTCCTTCTCCGATACCGAGTCGTCCAGACCCATGATGCGCAGGTCTGCGCATCTGACGGGCCTGGACACTCGGGCCTCGTCCGCGTCCAGGGACGCTCTGAGCTTCGCAGCCAGAGCGTCCGCGGTCGCGCCACTGGATTCCCCGGGGATCTCCAGCATACGGGCCCCCGTCTGGGTGACTTTGAGCCGGAGGCCCCCGGTGATCCCGAGCTCCCCGAGATCCACCGCCTCTTTCGCCTTCGCGAGCAGATCGCGGTAGGTAACGCCCTTCTTTTCCGCGTCCGGCTGTAGTGTAATCACTACAGCTGCGGTCTTCGGGGCGCGGAGCCTAGCCGCCATCTTGCGCGCCCTGAACTGGCGCTGCCGCTCCTGCTCTTTGGCCTTTTTGGCTGCCTTCTTCCCCTTATTTTTGTCCCCGACCACCTGCCAACCGGCTTCAGCCGTGGGAGGTGTAGGGAGCTGCGGGGGCGGTGGCGGCGGCGGCAGCTGGCTTGCCGCTGGCGCTGGCACATTCGCCGCAGGCACTGGGGCTGGCGCAGCCACCACCTGTGCTGCCGCTTTGCCCTTTTTTGTCTTCTCCTTGCCTCTCTTTCCCGTTGCCGGCTTAGCCGGAGCCGGTTCAGCCGGTACCGGTTTTGCCGGAGCCGGCTTTTCAGGGGGAGGAGGGGCAACTGCAGCCCCGCCCGAAGGCTGGCTGGACGGCCCCGGCCTGGATGCGGCAGCTGTAGCCGCCGCGTACGAGACCGTTGCCGGCCTCGCCGCCGTCTTGTTTGCCCCTAGGGGGGGGCGCAGGACGATGCCCTCCAGCACGGAGAACCGGTGCTGGAAGGCAGCCAGCTCCTGCCGGACCAGGTTCAGAACCTGGTTCTCCACCGGCACGGGCTGGCTTGGGCGCTGCGTCTGGGGCGCCGCGCGAGAGGCAGGCTCACGTAGACTGGCCAGGTCTGCGCGGAGCTTCTCGTTCTCCTTCTGGAGAGTCTCCATGGCGGACGTCAGGCGGGCCACTTCCGCCCGCAGCTCCGCTACCTCGTTTACATTAAGCTCGGCCCCAACAAAGTTGGCCTCCGCAGCCGCCATGATGGAGGCGGAGGCCGCGGGAATGGCCTTTAACTTTGAGGAGGCCTTTTGCTTGTGGGCCACGACCTTGATCGCGGCCTCCACCTCCTTTACGAATCTGGCCTTACGCTCCACCTCGGAGCCGCCAGTCGCATCCGTCTCTACGCCTGATACCCGAGCCGTATCGCCCGGGTGGCGCCCCTCCTCGGCATGCTTTGCCGCTTGTTCGGCCCTCTGATTGTCAGAGGGCCACCTCCCCTTGCCTCTCAGCCCGCCCCGCCTGTTGGTGGGGATTTTCCGGGCCGAAGTCTCCTCTTCTCCGGCTGACGACCCCTGGTCGCCATCCCGCCTGGACCGCTTGCGGAAAAACTTACTGGTCTCCGCGGTCCCAGGCTCCACGCGTCGGGAGCTCTCTGAGCCTCCCACGCTGCTCGATGCGGCGTCGGACTCTGTCCCCGCATCGTTCCTCCTCTCCTCTACGTTGCCGTTGCCGGCGGTTTTGGTTTTTTGTTGTTTATTTTCCATATTTGTACCCACGAGTATGGGAGTAATTAAATGTCCACCTTGGCAGTGACCCCTTACCAAGGTAAGCAGATTTAGAGGATTTATTACTCGCCAGGGGGTCTGCAGGTACCCTGGCGAGGAGCGCACTATCGACTGATTTGTTCATAGAACCCCGTCAGCCATCCATCCCCTCGCGGTGCGTCGCCGCTTGAGATTCGGGGTAACTTTTTATAGAGGTTTTCTCCCTCGCGGTCCGGGCGGTTAAGCCAAGACCCTCGGTCCCAATCAAAGCCGCGAGACATGATCCACGACACTTCGATACTGGGATTACGAGACCGGCGGTGACAGCAAAGGATGAATCCTTCACTGTCTGCCCGGAGGCAGGGTAAGTGCACACCGAGCCCGCCCTCACTCCTCTGCTATGCCCTCTGCTGATCAGAGGGTCACGCAGTGGAACGCGCCGTTGGTCCGGGACGGACCCCACCCATGTCAGAATAATTAGCCGTGGCAGTAACCTTCCCCAAGGAGTAAGAATTTCTTCTCATTTCTCGAGGAAGATTACTGCCGCGCCCAGGGTGCACCGGCCCAGTAGCTGCTCTTCCCTCCAGACGTATCGAGAGGGACCCGCAACTACCAGGCACACGTGGAGGACTTCTGACTTCGCACCCCATGATCGCTTCCCTGTGTTATAACTAAAAAGCACATGTAAACGAACACAGTTATCCAGTATGTTATAAAAGGTGTCTGTAGCCTCGTCTACAGTGCCTGTACATAAAAGATACCACCAGTCCTGTTCTAAAATATATGTTATCATAATCAGAACTTCTGAAATTTCGCCTCGACGCAGCTGTTTCTCGTAGAAGAGTAATGTTTAAATCCAAAACTATAAAGCAAAATACGCGCGATCCTCCATGAGTAGCGGCGCATCCGCAGGGATGATATTCAAAGGCAAATTAGAGATTGCAAGATTTTGTTTATAGAATAGCGTGAAAAACGAGCACACAGCGCACCTGATGGTAAGTGGTTGCTGTGACCCATAGACATCTACATCTATCCTCAATAAAGGATCAAACTGCAGATACGTTGTCACCCGTTAGGACTATAATGGAATGCCTCTTTTCCAGTAAAAAGGGTTTCTGATTCTCTACACTCACCATACAAAAAACAGCAGTGTAAAGCTGCTATTTTACGTTGGTATTCTGTGAGAGCGTGGTCCTTCCCTGGTCGAGCCGACCCATTCGTGCTACAACTATACTTTTAATATAGCTGCAGCATGGCTCTACCACGTACAAAAAGATCCAACGTGTTACCAGCATGATTTTTTAAATTATTAAATTATCTTAACCCGTGAAATGTGTTTCCATCAGTTGGATACTTGCTTCTTGTAACTCGGTAGACTCTTTTTTTCAAAACTGTGCAGTGCTTTGGGTTCCAAGAAATGAAAGACAAGTTAAAATCTCCTAATACTACAAAATTACCATTTGGAAAAAGCTCGTATTATCGAGCGATATTACTTTTTTGTCTAATAAAAACGAGATCCGATGACATTTGATGAGCGTCAGAGGCAATAAAGGCCACACAAATATGCGAGTTGGAATTTGAAGCGCACGCGCGTGAAGAAATAGTCCATTTTAGATTCTA